GACAGGGAATTTAAAAATTATTTACATTTGATCTCTATGCGTAGAATACAAATTGACATGCAAATAAAGTTCAGGTACTGATTCCTGTGAAAGCCATAGGGGAAAGTGGTTTCCCTTGTATTTTGCCGACAGCCTATTAAGTTTTCCATTTTCCAAGCAAGCTCTCTTTTCACTTTTATATTTCACAAGGATTCTGTAGTTTTGGGGTTTGCTTCTATATAAATGTCGCTTGCACAATTGTTGAGTTAATAATAATATAGCATTATTCTCATAAAATAGGGGGCTTTTGTTGCTAGTCGTCTGTACAGTAGGTGTTTTAAACTGGATTCTTAATCAGAGTTATGTGGAGAGAGGAAGGCTGAATGAAGTTATATTTGTAATGGGATTAATGGGGCAATATCTACAATTGATAGTAATTTGTAAAACAGGGCACTATTTAATATACTAATAAATAGTATACTTTCTGACTTGATTCTTAATGGCAATTCAAATACTTTAACAGATTTTAGACAAAGTGGATGGAGAAACAAGCAATGAAAGACTGTATTATGCAATTATCTATTACTGAGATTTTATAATTAACCTTCTAGTCAATTTACTTGGGGAGACAGGAAAACAAATTTGCTAAAAATCTATTTATTCATTGATGTTTATTTGTGAACAGAAGAATTTATAACAGGTATAGTGAGTATTGTTGCTGAACAGCAGAGACTTTGGGGGTCTTCTCCTTGGAAGAGAAGTTAGTGACATAAAGACTCGGGATATTTCTAACAATAAATAGACTGGCTTCACATCTCAGTTACATTTGTGTAAATGAGGAATAGCTGCATTGAAATAAGTGGCATTTCTGGATCCATGCCAATCTATTTTTGATCAGAATCTGGCCATGTGTCATCACACTCCGTGCACATACCAACTGTGATGCTTTAGGTAAATTTATTAGGTTAAAGTGTCTGTTTATTCTGACTTTTATATTTTTGTGTGAAGAATGCACTTTTTTCAAACCAACCTGAATTAAACCTGTGATTTATTTTAAGAACTATTTGATATATGTCTTGTAGCAGAGCATGTGATACTGATGTTAATGTTTTCATGTTCACTCTATAATAGACCTCAAATCCTTTCTGCTCAATGCTGACACCACAACAATTATGCCAATTACCTCTCCTGCCTTTGGACAGTGGGGCGGCTCCAGGCACCAGCGCAGCAAGCGTGTGTCTGGGGCAGCAAGCTGCGGGGGGCGGCCTGCTGGTTGCTGTGAGGGCGGCAGTCAGGCGGCCTTCGGCGGCGTGCCTGCGGGAGGTCTGCCGGTCCCGCGGTTTTGGCAGCAATTCGGCGGTGGGTCCGCCGAAGCCGCGGGACCTGCAGATCACCCGCAGAAACGCCGCTGAATCCGCGGACCACCCGCAGGCATGCCGCTGAAGGCTGCCTGACTGCCGTGCTTGGGGCGGCAAAAAACATAGAGCTGCCCCTGCCTTTGGATGTATGTACACAGCTCCCATTGATTTTGAAGGGAGGCCTGCCTGCACATTTAAGTGATGCTTTAGATATATTTCAGATACAAAAGGAGAGTCTAAGGCTGTGTGCAGGTGTTAAGACCAGTTCAACTGCTAGCAGTAATTTTTTTGGGGTAACATTTCCTCATGTAGACAAAGCTTAAAAGGCTACCTTGCTCCATTCTGTGTTTGGTCCATGTTTGCCTGCCTCCTTCTTGAGTTGCATGGTTAAGAGTCATTCGCCTCTAGAGAATGCCCTGGTGTCCCAATACAAAGCCTGGGTCAATCATAGCCCGGTAGTGCTTTGCAGATTTTGAATATATGCAAATGTAATGTACTTATTTCCTTAAAATGACTCCAAACCCATTCAAAATTTCTTTGAGTTTCTTCCTCCACTCCTAAAATATTTCTTCTACCGGATATCCACTGAATGTGTGATTTTAACCACACTGTTCACAAAAGCTGCTCTTGAGATACTTTTGATACTCCATTGAGAACAATAGGGAATGCTCCAGACAGCTGTGGAGAGCTCCAGACAGCTGTGGAGACCACCAGCGCTGTCCTTGCTCTCCCTGATTCAGTACCTGAGTTCTACACCTGCTGCCCAAGAAAAGGGATGAGAGGCGAGATAAACAACCCATTGTTGGCTCTCCCCAGGAGAGTTAAGTCAGTGGAAATAAATTAGTTGCCACAGAGCTTTTTGGCCAAGTGGCTCAGGGATAGCAGGGAAAGAAATGGCCATCACCTGAGTTCCCTTCTCCAGAGAAGCATATTTGCTACCTGCCTCAATTTGGCTGGACCTCTCCTGAGTTTTGACAGAGTCCCAGTTATCTGCCTCTTTGTTCTGAGTATTCAGAATTTGTGTCTGCTTACAAGGCTGTACTGGAGGCTTCAGAAGATGTCTCATCCCCTTCCTAGCTCTCACTGTCCACTGTTGCTTCCTATGCCTCACTGCAGTGGCAGAGGGAACCGTCCTTTGGCCCTTGCCAGTTGCAGCAGATAGCCCAGTTTAGGAGGGAAGAAAGGGAACACCGTGGAGGGGGCAAAAAGAAAAAGGGAGAAAACGAGGACACAGTGGTGAAAGGAAGTGGGGTGGAAGTAGAGAGAAATGAGGGGGCAGAAACAGAAGGGCGCAAATATTTGGGTAGATATTACTGTAACACCCAGGTATTGATGTCAGGAAGTGAGAGCTGGTAGAACCTCAAGCACATGGGGCCAAAGAGAACAGTGACAAAGAATGGGAAAAACCTCAAAAGGGAAGGAGAAGGGGACATAAGAGAAATGAGAGAGGAGAGTAGTGGGTATCTCTGGGCAAGAGGAAAAGATACAATTCAAAGAGGAAAGCAGGTATCTACCTCTGCCTCTTAAAAACAGCAGATGAAAGTAGGTCTTCTACCAACACAGCTAGATTGGGAAAGCCATGGCCTGTTGGTACAGGGAGAGGGTTGTGAATAACAGGATTGTGCTTCTATATGGGACAAATGAAAGGAAAGCAAGAACAGCTGCTGTGGTATTTATAGCCATCTAAATAATCTAGAAGCGACCAAAATGTGTTCTGGAGTCTAATAGCCCACAGATCCCTAACTTGTTTTGAGAGTTGTCCCTTGACAACTGTGGGGAAAGGGTAGTGGGGCTTTGATGGTGATAGATAGGTAAGCCTGCCCCTTCTCTAGGGGCATTTCCAACTAGGATTTCCTGAAGGGCTATTTTATTGTCCCTCTAAGGCCTGCAAGGAGTTCAGCCTGAGGAGACCTCTGTGCCTGTGTGGACCTCCTTGTAAAATCAGGGCTAAACGTGTGACGGGCCATTAAAGGTTCCCTAAACTCATCTGAGCACAAGGAACTCTAAAGACCCTACCAGGTCAGGAGACTTTGCACTAAGCAACCCAGAGCACAAAGAGGAAGAGCTTGCAGAAAGAGACGGTTCCTCTTTCAGAAAAATATTTTAAGAAAATTATAATTAGAAATGATCTTAGTTTTTCTCTAATTAAAATGAAAATTTAATTTAAAAACAATTTTCTTCATGATTTGTTGGTAACTTGATTATATTTTTGGCAGGAATTGGTATGTTTGTTTTTAAAAAGATATCTTGTTTAGTTCAGGCTGTGGATTGGGACCTATGCATGCAGATTAATGTACACACAGTAAGCCCCTCCCTATCACTTGCCTGTCACCCTCTCTGTAAAATTTAGATCTGCAAGTAGGGGCCATCTACAGTGGATAAAATTTCCCACTTGCTAACATTGGTTCAGCTTCACGGGTGTTAGCTATACTGGAAGTCTTAATGTGGATGGGCTGCTGGCTGCAACTAGCATTTTCAACATTATGTAACCCTGCTCAGAGCAGGCCTAATCAATGTGATTTTATAAACATCAACTGCAGTCAGTATACATCTCTCCAGTGTAAATGGCCCCTTAGAAAGTGGCCTTTGTAAGACAGTCATGGAATGTTAAACATCTTATCCTGTGCTTTTCCCCTTTTTATGCTCCACCCTCTTCCCAAAAAACGAATATAGGTTTGCAGAATTAAACAGAATGGCTAGAAAAATTAAAGCCATTTAGATATTTTAATATATATATATGTTTTAGTATATTGATGTCACTAGCAGCAATTTAAATAGAAAAATCTCTTAATCCAGTAGCAAAAACTAGAGAGGTTGATGTTAGAATATTCTATCAGTTCAACAATCAAATAAGAGTCTCCTACAAATATTAGCATAAAACATTAGCCATGTTTTACATTTATTATGTTGTTTATATCCACAATACTTCAAACTCATTTTGTGTTAAATTGTATCTGTCATCTGTAAAGAAATACTTATTTGGGTCTTGACATTTAAGTTTTATTCTAGTCTCTAGCAGCTTTTATTTTTAACTTGAATACACCTATACAAACTGATGTAATTACAGTACATTGTATTTTTAAAGTTTAACATATAATAAATTGTCTCCATCCCAAAAAGCAATATTGTGTTTGAATGTTGTTATTGTAAACCATATCTCTCTATCAATGTAAACATTCAGGTTTGTTCATTTGTACAGAACAAAGGAGTTATAATCTGCAGCAATATATTGGCTAGCCAAAAGTTTTATAGCCGGGCATGCATTTGATTTATAGGTCAGTGTGAATGAGTTTTCATGTTTTTTAAATTTGCTTACAGCATCTAACAAAGGAGTGGGACCCTTTTGTCTTTTCTATAAGATATTTGTTGTTTGGTCAATTGACCTCAATGATATTGCACATGTGAGTAAAATTACTTGTGTGCTTAAGACCCATAGTTTGTAAACTGTTAGTGAATCCTTTAGGATGAAAGGCACTATATAAATATAAAAAAATTTATTATGGCTGAATTCATTTTAACCATCTCCTTATACTCCTGAAAATGATTAACTTCTGGTTTACAAGTTGAATGTTTTTTTTTTAAAAAAAAGTCTGCCTGGGTTCTTCAGCATTCAGATCTCTAAAATGTCATTTGCAGTCTTGCACAGACACCAATCAGACGATATTTGTTTTCTAAATCAACCTTTTATTTAAAAAATACCTTTCTATTCTCAGAGGAGCTACAGGTATGACAAAGAAAAAACAACAGCCACATTGTCCCCAGGTTTCTTTCCTGTTTTTGTAAAAATATCACGTGTAACTAGTTACAAAGGATTATAGTGAACTCTAGAATGAATAGGAACATTATCCTGATAGTCAGAGTTAAGTGACACCCCCCCACCAAAAAAAAATCCACTCCTTTTTCTTAACACCTTAAGGTATTTTATCTAAACAAAGTCTGATACACAGTATATGTTGTTAGCACATCCAGGACATGTCACAGTTTAATTATGAAAATCAACCATGAGAAAAGCGGTGTTCCCAACTGAGTTAATAACTAGTTACCTATCAAGAAATAGACTCAATTCTTAGGAAGAGTTCCCAGTGTGTTAAATGATGCAGTTTTGGGCCCTGTAGTCTGGGGAATCTATACATGTAAATCACTGGACAGATTGGAATTAATGGCCTACTAAAGGCTCAATCAGCCTAAATTGAGGCACCTGTAGCAGAGGAGAGTAGTTAGGCTAGAAGGTAGGAGGGAAGGGAGGTGGCTGCTGCTTTTGGGAGAGAAGGTGGGCTAGGGACAGGGGAGAATAGTGTTTAGCAGATTCCCCTGGAGAAACAGGAAGAATTTAGAAGTTTGTGTTGCTCAGGCTTGTTTGCCAGAAAGGGTAGAACTGTAAGTGATCTTGCTTCAGGACTCAGCCTTTCTGCCACAGAAGGTGTTGTCGGCTGGGTGCAGCAGCAGCTCCGCTGGGAAACTGAAGCTAAGTGGCTGCTGTAAGGCACAACGCTGCAAAGGGGGCCCTGTGGTAAGGATGTACTTTAACAATGACACTTTATATTAAAACATGCTGTACCCTGGCATCTTTCAATTATTCATGGGATAGTGATTGCTTCCCCATACATAATGAGGTTTTCAAATTTAATGTGGAAAAACCTTGAACATTCTCCTTTTCTTCCACCTGGAAAAAATACTGATGAAGGTAACCAGGAACATATTTATTCTCAATTGCATACCACAGTAATCCAGGCAAAAGGTAATCTGAATATGATGTAGTGACAATGTTGTATTGTGAGTTTGAAGATGTCCTTGGTTAAACCATTTAGCTGTAACTTATATGCAGTCTCAAGCCATTCTTTGATATATTTGGTTTGTTGGTTATCATCTGCTGTACAGACTGTGATATCTACACATCTAACTGTCTCTTTACAGTGGAACCGGGCATCTCAAAGATTCAGGGTGCAAAAATGTAGCCGTATAATCTATAAAGTTCCCGTTCTGTAGTGACAAAGACTTCAACTCTTTAGGGATGATTAGAGACCTAGACTTTATCAAAACAGCTGATTACATGCACAACTTTCTACTCGCAGATCCTTCAGCCTTTCAATCACAAGATCTTCTGAATGAGATAAGTACATCACATTAATAGAGGATCGCTTCTGGGGCACACAGCGGGAACTGCAAGCAAAAAACCAAACAAATCTGAAATTAGTTTTATTTGGGGAGGAAATAATCTCAAAATACTATATTGATCCAAATTTGCCATATCAAATAATAGAGCTGAAACAAGCAATTACACCAGCTAAAAATCTGGCCTCTAAATTGGTGTAACTCCATCAGTGGCACTATGCCAGTTACACCTGCTAAGGAGCTGGCCTGAGATTTCTGTTGATACTTCAGGTGCACACATTACTGTACAGGACCTATTTTTAAAAAAATAAGGTCTGCCAGTTGGAGAAGCAAGAAAAGTTATGAATTGTTCCCCCACTCCCTCCCACCCCCCAAAAACCCAAATCACAGCCTGGTGACTCAGAATCCCCTCCCTCCCTCCCTCAGCAGGTTTCTGGCTTGCTCAGCTGCGGTCCCTGGCAGCTGAGCCTGGGCAGGGAGTGAAAGCTACCTCCCCATCCCAGCTCTCTCAGGCAGCTGCTGGGCTACAGAGCAAGCGGGAAGGGCCGGCATTAGAAATGGCTCTCCCCTGCCAGGGAGAGTGGCCTGGGCGGGCAGGCACAGCGCAAGGACAGAGCGCCCCCCCCCTCCCCCCCGCAGGTAACATGTGGCGGGGAGAGCATGGTGGCCCCTCCTGCCAGGGAGAGAACGTGTCTGTGGGGAGGGGGGGAAACATGTGACTTTCCCTTTAGATCATGCCCCTCCCAGTATGGGGAGGCACCAGTTCTCTATGGGGCACCCTCGGCAGAGGGGGTGGGAAGAGGTGGGGCCTTGGGGGAAAGGGTGGAATGGGGGCGGGGTCTGGGACAGAGCATCCCCCCCCCCCAGGAAATCAGGAAGTCGGCTCCTATCGGTGAATTAGAACTGGACTTGAACAAACCCCCCAGATCCACGCACCCCAAAATGTGGTTTGAGCCCCCCCAAACTTTCAGAAGTTTGTGCCCATTTCTACTGTGAATGGCACTTCACTTAAGGATAGCTCAAATATGTTTCTCACTACTTTATTAACAAAAAAAAAAATCCAGTTGCATTGCTGGTTCTTTCCACCTCCCAGTAATGTTTGTCTGAACACATCAAGTATTTTCTGAATGATCAATATTGAAGCCCGGGTTTTTGAAAAGGAACTGTAGGTGTTAGGTGTCCAATTTCAATTAACTTTTCAATAATTGGGCACTTGTCTGTCTTGGACCCCTTTGAAAATCCCAGCTGGAGGTAAAAGCTATTTCTGGAGCCAGTTAATACTTTTGCCCCCTGTGTTGTGTTACTGTTGTTCAAGCAGACTGGTATTTGTAAATATCATAAGCCCAATTCTTAATTTCAGTGAGACTTGCTTCCACACAGCAGCTGTAGAATTGGGCTCTGTGTTGTTTTTATTAAGGATATAGGTATCTATGTCCTATTTAATATATTACCTCATCCTGTTTTCTGTTTTATTTATTACACCCCGCTGTGCTTCAGAGAGCTCTCCAGATTCTTCGTCGGAGCATTCTCCTCTTAAAGAAAAGAGTTAAAAACGTTATTAAAGCTAATGTTTAAAATAATTATATAATAAGTAGGTTGGGGGGAAAAGTGTCTGTACATCTGGATGTAGTGCTTACAGTTAGTTTTTTAAAAGTAATATTTAAAAATATTAGATTCTGCTGCAGCTGAATGTATTTTTATAAAATGAGATTCAATAATATGATTCAAGGGTTTTAGCTAATATACCAAATGGAGGACATTATTGTCTTACTGAAGTAATCTTATAAATAGCATTTGTAAGTGTAAGAGAATAACTTTTTAAAAGTGTAGAATAAAGGCTCAAGTACCATTCATCTCTAAAGTCAAATTCTTTCCATTGGACTGACCAGTGACTCGTACCTCATACCCTCCCTCCCTCTCCCCAGCTGCCTTGAAGTGGAAGAATTTGCCTCACAAGAATATACATCAGCTGTGTGTCAGTTATGACAAACTATGCTACATTGCTCATATATTGGCCTAGGATTAGATACGTAAGAACAGCTAAATCATTCTGAGTTAACAGAAGTGAACCCACTTGGTCTTTTGACTAAGGACAGATAAAATGGGACCTCTGACTACATTTAGGTGCTTAAGCATAGTCTGTGATACTCTTTTTAAATCTGAGAGGCAGCTTCTGCTTTTCTCATCTTCCACTATACTTCTGCGAGTGCAATTAACAGGATTAGTATTAGGCCTCATTGATCCCTTTTGCTGTTGCAGGACAATGCATGTGCCTAGGTAAGAATTTTAACAGATTTACTGCAGAAAAGCAAAGACAAGACTGGTATGTCCAGCCACTCTATAAAACGTGTCACTTTGTGGATACATTAACCACAGTATATCTCAGAAATTATGCCATTTGAGTAAATCATATCATGTACTGTATTTGTGTTTCAGCTAGTACCATAGGTGGATGCTTTCCTAAAGCCGTATCAGAACTTCACTGCTGTCGCACCCATGCTGTTCCAGTGTTTGGTTTCTAAACCCTGACAACCCTACTAAATAGTGGGTTCATTAAGATATCTATATTTGCACATTTGGCACCACACTGAGAGCAAATTACTGAATTATTGTGACATAAACCAAATCTGAACCCAGTTCTCTCAAGGTGAAAAGATGTAGTATTTTAACCCCCAATTCCTACTCTAAATGCCCAAAAGTAGCAGGTATATCCAGCAAATGTGCTGCTGGACATACTTGGTACAAACTGACTTTCCAATCATTTGAATGAACTTCCCAGAGCCAACAGTTACTAGAACTCTTGCACATTCCTACATCATGGAAGAGATTTAAAAAGTAGCTACTTGCAAAAACTTGTGAAGAAGCCAGGAGGCTCCAGAATCCAGTGGCTCAGTTGCATTGTCTGAAAGTTCACATAGTGTTGGTGAAGGCTGCACTGTTGTAGCCTGGAATCTTCTGGCAAGTTTCTCCTTCTCTCTGTAGCGCAGTGTTGGCATTCTCTAGTGACCTGCTGTTTACTTCCACCATATAGCTCAGTCACCAGGAAGCGATAAGCCACCAGTAAGGGCTCACTCCGGGTGCATCTGTTCAAACAGTACAGGCTCTTAGTCAGAGCTTCATGGAGAACCAAGCTGCCACTGTCGTCCGTGAATCGTAGCTGAAAGCCTATGACATCTGAGGTGGTCTCATTCAAAATGGCTGAAATGTTAAAGACATCATAACCAGATGGTGGTAGCTCATCTAACGTCAGCACTTTCTCATCTAAGGCTTCGCTTTCTGTGATATTTCCCTGGACCACAGAGATGCTGTGCACAGTAACATTTACTGTCAGCGATTCTGGGTGTAGAGTCTTCCTGAGAAGAACTAATTCTGCAAGCCTCATGGAAGGTTTCAGGTAAGAAATATTAAACCACAGCCATCCTGGAATGCCAAAATCTGGATCTAGGAGAACAATTAATGTACAATTTTATTTCAGACATGGAACCTGTAGACAAGGAACCTGAAGGGGAAACTGAGGCAGTGGTTGTGATAATGGTTTCAGTGAAGCAGAGAAGGTGGGTAGACGGGAGGGTGTACCATTGAATCTGGCCCTACCCTTGTAAAACTTGAAAAATATTGATGCAAAATGTAACTTGAGATAAGAAATCTGTATTTAGTTAGAAACATACTGTGACCTTGAAATCAGTAAATTTCCAGAGGATATTTTATTTCTTTTTAGTAACTTTAGTATGACCTTTGTGCATATTTGTAAACACATCTATTAAAAGAATGGTTTGAAGACACAAATTTGTTTGCATGGGCTTAAGTTTCAACTTGGAGCATATTTTGTTTGTTTTTAATGGTTGAATTGTACCTCCCTGACACTCAATTGATAAAACAGAAATGTTTACAGGCCTTTAATGAAAGATGGCATTGCTGTAGTGATCTTACCTTATTAATGATCTCACTGGTTCAACCTTTCTGGAGGGAGATGTGCAGCTAGGTTTTGCTGCCAGCTCAGATTTGGCTTCTTTTATTATTTTTTTAATAGAGATTTCCAACCATGTCAGTGTATGCCTAATTTTTATTTCATTTAAGACAGTACTTTGGATGTCAGCCAAGGTCTAAGGTCCCTAGTGGGTTTCACTAAACTCTTCTATTTTCCCTGCAACTCTCTTGCTTGCTAATAGTTTTTCTTTTCTGTTTTATTTCATACGCTTATTTGTTTAAGATAAGCTAAGATGATCTTGTTGCTTACAAACTGGATGTTATGGGATCTGTGCCTTAGGTTCCTGAGAACCAGATTCCACACTCAACTATGTGCACACCAGCTCCATCAAGATCAGTACAACTGGCACACATATCTGCAGGCTGAGTTTGGCACTAAATAAATCAACTAAATCATCCTAGATGGGGGAGAATATTTGTTTCTTATCTGATTGCCAATTAAAAGTACATAACATAAGAATGTCCCTAAGGGTCAGACCAAAGATCCATCTAGCTCAGTATCCTGTCTTCCGACAATATCCAGTGTCAGATGCCCCAGAGGGAATGAACAGAACAGGTAATCATCAAGTGATCCATCCCCTGTTTCTCATTCCCAGCTTCTGGCAAACAGAGACTAGGGACACCATTCCTGCCCATCCTGGCTAATAGCCATTGATGGACCTATCCTCCATGAATGTATCTAGTTCTTTTTTTGACCCAGTTATACTCTTAGCCTTCACAACATCCTATGGCAAGGAGTTCCGCAGATTAACTGTGCATTGTGTAAAGAAATATTTCCTTGTATTTGTTTTAAACCTGTTGCCTATTAATTACCTTTGGTGACCCCTAGTTCTTGTGTTCTGAGAAGTAGTAAACAACACTTCCTTATCTACTTTTTCTACACCAGTCATGATTTTATATAGACCTCAATCATATCTCCCCTTAACTATCTCTTTTCCAAGCTGAAAAGTCCCAGTCTTATTAATCTCTCCTTTCCTGAACCTTTTCCAATTCCAATACATCTTTTTTGAGATGGAGCAACTACATCTGTACACAGTATTCAAGATGTGGGTGTACCATGGATTTATATAGAGGCAACATGATATTTTCTGTCCGATTATCTATCCCTTTCTTAATTATTCACAGCATTCTGTTCGCTTTTTTGACTGCTGCTGCACATTGAGTGGATGTTTTCAGAGAACTATCCACAGTGATGCCAAGATCTCTTTCTTGAGTGGTAACAGCTAATTTAGACCCCATCATTTTATATGTATAGTTGGGATTATGCTTTCCAATGTGCATTACTTTGCATTTATCAACATTAAATAAGTAGGGAGTTATTGGTAGTTGGACATGGAAAGTCAAAAGAACCATTGTTTAAAATTAGGACTGTCAATTAATCTCAATTAATCTCATGTGATTAACTCAAAAATTAATCATGATTAATTGCACTTATAATAATAGAATACTAATTGAAATTTATTAAATATTTGTGGATGTTTTTGTACATTTTCAATATTTATTTCAATTACAACACAGAATACAAAGTGCACAGTGCTCACTTTATATTATTATTTTTTATTAGAAATATATGTATGTAAAAATGATAAACAAAAGTATTTTTCTGTTCACCTCATACAAGTAACTCCTCACTTAAAGTCATCCCAGTTAACATTGTTTCGTTGTTACGTTGCTGATCAATTAGAGAACGTGCTCATTTAAAGTTGTGCAATGCTCCCTTTTAACGTTGTTTGGCAGCCACCTGCTTTGTCCACTGCTTGCAGGAAGAGCAGCCCGTTGGAGCTATCTGGTGGGGGCTTGGAATGAGGGTGGACCAGTAGCCCCCCCATCAGCTCCCCGCTCCCTAAATTCCCTGAGCAGCAGCCGCCCAGGAGGCTATCAATTGCCGGCAAATATTTGTAATAAAAAATAAATACAAAATAAGCACTGTACCCTTTGTATTCTGTGTTGTAATTGAAATTAATATATTTGAAAATCTAGTAAACTTCAAAATATTTAAAATAAATGGTATTCTATTGTTGTTGAACAGTGCGATTAGTCGCAATTAATTTTTTTTATCGTGATTAATTTTTTTAATCGCTTGACAGCGCTACTTAAAATGCATTCTCCCAGGACTGACCAGTGTACTGGACCCTGATCAGGATGGGGATGGACTGTTGGAGCTCCTGGTGTGGACAGGACCTTAGCCTTACACTGTAGACACTATGTTCAGCCTCATCCAGCACAAAGGGTGTCCTTTTATAGGTCACCAGTCTAATACCACAGATTAGAAGAAGCCCACCCAGTTTCTAGGACCGATGCACTATCTGGACCCAGACTAGTTGGTTTGGCCAGGTCCAAAACTGAAGAGGGCCCACACCAATCACTATGTGGAAGACTGTGGCTGATGTGTGACTCTCCTTGCCAGATAATGCACCTTTTGCTCTCATCATTCATGTGGATGCCCAAGATGTGGCACTGTAAATATCCCATTTCTCTTTCCCCAGGTATGTGATGACTCAGGTTAAGTTCAGCTGGTTCCCGCCTGTCTTCGATTATTCACCCAGACCTTATCTAGGTAAATAAATGCTGCAGAGGGTGCCTGAGGCCCCTTACTGGTTCAGGGCACAATACCTCAGAACAATGAGGCACAGGATGCACAGCGGTGCTTTTAACAGCTGCTCTAAAATGGAGCAGTGCTTGCTGTTTCCTGCCACCCACTGCTGACAACAACATGTGTGCAGGAGACCTGGAGCCTACCCCCGTGGAGCTAGCTCCCACACTACAAGTGCCCTTTTAGGACATTGGCACTTGTAGTGTGGGAGATAGCCCCACTCCAGCCTACCCGTTCAAGGTAGCGCTATGTTTCTGTTTAGCCCAGGAGGTCAATCCTAATTTAGCGACCCTAGGAGACACTCTCAGCCGTGTCTCTGTGGTTAGGGCTTCTCTGCATAGGATTTCGGCCTGGAGGCTAACCCTAGAAACGTAGCCGAAAGCATAATCCCCCATGGCGCTAGACGTATAGCTAGAGTGACAGATGGGGAAAGCACTGCACAGCATCTCCGAGGACAGGAGCCTGTAAGCTGTAACAGGAAGCAGGAGCCACAGCCGGGGCTTAAGCCACCCTCCACGCCCTATAAGTTGGAAGCCCGGGACAAGGAGCAGCCAGAGCGAGACTCAGCTAAGGGCCAGCATCCCAACCACAGCATCCCCCGGTTGATGGCAGGAAGCATCGAGTTCCCTTTCCCAGCACAGGGCAAGCAGCAGCCAGTACCAAGGAGTAGTGGTAACCCCAACCACAGACCTTTACTTGGACCAGGACGAGGAGCAGTCAAATAAGCCCCAGAATTATCTAGACACGGACCCAGGGAGATGCCAGAACTACTCTGAAATGATTCCTGTATTCCTGAAACTTTTTTTTAATGCTGCAACCTTGCCAGGCGTCTGTCTGGTAATCATGCCATTTGCTGTCTTTCATGTAACAAGATTAGATATAGTCATCAAGTGTGCAAATTAGGGTGTTATGTCACTTGCATGAAATCTCCAGACTTCTGAACCATCAGCCTTAATAGTTATATTATAAATATACACAGGCCATTCTGGTTTCACTGCCGAAGCAGCATGACAAGCACAACGTAAACAGACTGGATAAATGGTGACAAGTAAATTAGATTTTTAAAAACTCATTTTTAAAAATATCAATTGTTATTAGTAATGTGAGTAAGGACTTTTTTTGATGTGGTTTGTCTTGGCGATAGTCTCCATAAGACTGACATGTGCAGGTAGTTTCAACTGGTGACTGAAGTTTAGTTGGTTGGGAGTTAAGGTAGCTTCTCATTTCTAAACTGCTCTGTCCTCAAAGCAGTCACTTGAAAGAAACTGATCCTTTTTATTTAACTCTGGCCTAGGAGACTGTATAGAGATCTCTCAAAACAAATGCTGTGTGTAATAAAATGTATAAAGCAGATATTGAAACGGAAAAGTAATAGGTTTATAAAAGCAATGTCATTAATGATAAGAGGAAAAAAAATCTATTGGATAACCTGTTTTTAAAAGGAAACCATTTCAAACTGGCAATATTTTTTCCCCTTAGGAATTGTTTATCATGGTAATGTTTAAAGTTATTCAAGATATGATGTAAATCACAAATAAATAGTGGTCAGTTTCCTACCTTGGATGCTCCTGAAACTCTGCACAAGAGTCCCTTCGCTGTTTAAGGCTGGTGGGTTTCGTAGATGATAGACTAACTTCATGTAGTGGTGAGGCTTGGTCCTGAGAGGTATGGATAACTTATTGATATGTAGCATTTCCAGGATGGCCTTGCTTAACTGTTCATCTGTTCCCCAGATAAGCTGGCATTTCCCTGCCCCTGGGCAGTGAGAACAAAACATCAACAGCAATCCACAGATGAGTCCTAAAAACAGAGAAACAATGCTCATGGTGGGTCTGTGAGTAAACAAAGTTTTAGAGAAAAAACAGAATGTAGCCTTTTGCTGGTTCCTGGTGTTTTGTCTTCTAGCTATAATTGCAGAGGGGTAATAATACTCAGCCAGAAAACTGCAGTTAATTAGTTGCAAGGACTTGGTGCCATTGGCACTGTCCTGAAAACTAATTACTGGTAAACAGAAAGTCCTAGAAGACTTCATTCGGAGGATGTGTATTTACTACACACACACATTACCTCTCTTTCTTTCTCCCTGGTTTGTTGTTGGGACAAAAGCATTTTGTATGTTGTGAAGATGATGTATAGAATTTTTGTTTCTGTTTTTTAAATAGTTTTGTTCATTTAGATTAAGTGACTCGTTGTTATGGAAACGGAAGTCCCTTAATCTATTCACAGGCAGTTTGTGGCAACGGTAGCAGTAATGCATGCTTTCCCACACTCCCTGCACGAATGACATTAACCTTGACTTGGGAAGACCACCCGCTGCACACATAAGAGGTGGTTTATTCTGCATTCCACCTCAGTCCTATGTCTTTAGTGAGCACAAACTGCCAGTTGTCCTAAATCCTTCCAGAATATTATGCATTGTTTGTACAGCTAGCTGCTACCCACTGGGGGTCAGAACCTCAGACCACTCAATCGATTTCACTTTGCACTAGATCGGGTACTCGAATTATTGTCACAAGAGTAAAAGGCCCTTGACTTAGCCCCTGAGCCATTCCATTCCCTATTTACTCTCTTCTACTAGTTTCAGTATAACATAACTTTTCTCTCAGGCTTTTTTGGGGGGAGGGGGAGTAGGGGGAAGGAGGGGCCAAAGAATTTTGAACAATAAACTTCATCAAACCACATGTATTTAACTGTTTTGCTAACAACCTAGATTAAACATTTAAGAGGATTTTTTTAAATGAGAATTTCACTTTTCACAATATGTGCGGCTTGTTCACAAACAGTAAGTCAGCGCACACACCTTGGGGCATCTCCTGGAGCCGGAGCGATAAATCAAACAGATGCATTTTGTGACTTTTTCTGTTTACAAATTGTCCATGATTTTCTTCATTATTTCAAAGTTATTTGCTCTTCAAAGTAATTTGCCAAATAATTTCTGAAACATATTCTTGGTCTGTGGCTTGGTCTGTAAATATTCCATATCTGAAATTCAAACTGAGCTGTTTTGATTAGATGTCTAGGACATGTGATACACTTCTGCTCTTTGACTGGATGGCCATAATTTAGAATGGGACGTCTGGTGCAAATATTTGCATCTACAAAACTAGTGTTAGCTTTTTATTAATAGTCTGCAACATTGACTTAAAATTGGCTGCTTATGTGATCATTCCTGAATCTTTGTGAAATGCAAACATGGAAGAGAATGGAACACAGTGAAAACCTCTATGACTAAAAATTCAAATTTCAATTTCACTGACTTTTTTTGAAGCATTCACCTTGCTCTTGTAGGTTAGCCATTTTAACAGTAGTAAAAATAAGGTTAAGTACTTTGCAGGCCTTTTGCAGAATGACCACAGTTAGGATCCATCTCTATTTAGAATATGGCCATTTAGGGGTCGCTTGAAGTAGGACACATGGAGAGTGAAATTCACCCCCTGTGGAGAGGGTCTGTACCACGTAAGTCCCACTTGAGACCTCAAAATAGGGAGCTGAATGTGCAAGTACCTCTGAAAATCAACCCTTAGGTGTTTCAAGTTGGGGACCCAAAAACAGGACTCAGAATTAGGGGCTACTTTGGAAAATTTGTTTTTAAGTGACTTGACCATAGTGATAGAGTAAATCAATGGTAGGAGCAAGAAAAGAATTTGGCTGTCTTGACTCTAGGACAACTACTCTGTGCACTGCATCTGGCTGCCTCCTACAAGATTGAAGGGAATTAACAAAGTTGTTTTAGAAAGAAGAAATAAAAAAATGGCCTGCAAAAATTATGATGTAATAAAGCACTAGACCAGCTGGAGAAGTGCCTGTTTTTATAGAACATTCGATGACCAATTACTTCCAATTTTAGATTGTTTGTAAATGCACTTTAGAAACAAAATATATTTTTCCTTGATTTAGCCCACCAGGAAAAAAGCCAAATAATTACACTGTGTACAAATCTATTTAATTACTTAGCACTGACTACAGTATTTTAAAGACCACTGCTATTAGATTAGGGGCTGATCTTAATAGGATTTCTCAGACAGATTTTCAGTAAACAGGGCCTTAATAAACCATTGCAAACAGGGTACCAAGCAGTAGGTATATCAGCTCTTACAGTAGGAGTAAATCCTGTTTGGCTGGGAGTAACTCAATAGTAACTTGGCTACAACCATTCTTCCAGTCTGTGCGCTAGCCACTGTCCATTTGCACTCCCTGTGACAGTGTTTTGGTCTACTTGTTTCATGTACATACAGATCCTGTGGTCCCATTTGACTCTGACCCACATTATCCCTTCTCCACTGATTTATTCTGAGGTAACGTGGAGCCCTCCATCTATGTAGGGGGCGTGAAGGACCTAGTGTGCTGCCAAATAGTATACGTAGCACCCAGGCTCACCACAGGGCTCAGACGGAACAGGTGGCCTTGAGCAGGCCCTGTACAAATCCAGCTGTAGATTTCACCCAAATCAAGGGTGCAATCTACAATTTCAGCTTAAACATAGGAAAGGCCTGTTCAGTAAGGGTGGGATAAAGGGTTCCTTTAAGAACACTAAGAGGAAGGGAGGCATATGAAAGCCCTTACAGCAAAGAAAGGAGAAGCAGGCACATGCTGAACTTTCACAAACTGGCTTGCTCCCAAACAGAACAGAATATGAATAGCTTCTGTACATGTGCTAATCGAATGTAAGGAGAACCAAAGCCACATTCTGTTTGCAACTTACACAGGCTGTTCACTGACAAAACTAATAAAGAAACTGGTAAATATTGTTTGCAGGGGAAAGAGAGAATTTGAGGGAAAGGTTTGGGGAAACAAAGCATAAGGCGGAAATAATACTGTGTGCGTGGAAGGTGATGTGAAATTGCCATCAGATTCTGTGTGGCTAATCATGTCTATTTGCTGAGCTAAAAATATCAAGTAGTCCTAGTAACTTGGGCTGAGTTCTGTATTCCATCCACAGCATCTTTTACTAATACGAATTATTTATTGTTAAAAACATTTCTATTTTTATTTTGCTTAAGTCAAATCTGGATTTTATATCTGCCAAACATATAATGCACCTTCCTATGCATTCACTTGAGTGGCCGTCTGGACACCGCAGAGGTTCATGAATCTGCCTGTATACAGCCTTTGAGCTAATAAAGCTGGGACTTTCAGATCAGGCAATAGAGAACCCCATGTTTAGATCCAGAGGTCCCAGGTTCCATTCCATCCTGAAGCATCACTTTCACTTAGAAAGGTGTGTTCTGTGTTTTTTATATACTGTAAATTTCATGGACCACAGATATTGGCCACTGCTAACAGAGTATATTACTAGGCAATAGACTTTTCAAAAACCAAGTGGCAGTCCAATGTCTGTGGTGGGGTGGTCATTGCTGGGGGGAGAGGGGAAAGGCGGTGATGCAAACAGTCTTTTGAACCAGCTCAGCAGTGCCACTGGGTTCTGAGCCCAGGGCTAAATATTAGATTCACCTTCACACATGCTGGTAATTTGGGGAAATGCTGAGTATTTGCCAGTGAACTGCTGCTGCCCAGCTATCTACTCCTGACTGGAAGCAGGAGAGGGAATGATGGACAGTCACTCAGATAGACTCTAACATTTGAAAACTTTACTGATCCATAAAAATAAATGTATATTGATATTTTCAAGTAGATCTACATATTTTTGTCTAGTGTACGTTTGTGTCTATGTATAGAGAGAATATCTTCTGGTGTGGTATAAAGGTCTAATCAGTATGAGTTTAGAATGGATATAATATTCCTGTGGTAAAGTCTCAAGTGAATTATGTAGGACAATCTCAAACACAGGCAAATGAAACTTTTATACAATGCAGTGTAGTTGTAGTTGTGTTGATCCCAGAATATTAGAGGGACAAGGTGGGTGAGGTAATATATTTTATTGGACCAACTTCTGTTGGGAGAGAGAGACAAGCTTTCAAGCCACACAGAGCTCTTCTTCAAGTCTGGTAAAGTTACTCTGAGCATCACAGTTAAATACAAGGTGGAACAGATTGTTTAGCATAAGTACTTAGGACATATTTCTAAGGGACCATTCAAGGTAGAGTAGCCTTTTAACATCTCTGCAGTTATAGGCCAGAAAGAAAGGGTTATTGTAACGGTAGTCTGTAGATGGACCATGGGCCAAATCCAGACCACCAGACGCTTTTGAATGGATCCCAAATTTTTGTTATTTACTTATTATTATTTTATTATCACTATTATTATTATTTTATTTTCTCTGGAGTCCAGACCTTTACAATACCTTGACCAAGAAATTTGGACCTTGACAAAAAAGAGTTGACTACTTCTGGGTTAGTGGGTTACAGATTGTTGTAATAAGCCATAAATCCAGTGTCTCTGATCAGTCCACGATTTTTAGTGTCTAGCTGAGTTATGAATTTAAGCTCCCAGGCTGATCTTTTGAAAGTGTTCTGCAGGTTTCCTTTGAGGATGAGGACTGATAGATCAGATATAGAGGGATTGGTGTATGAAAAGTGTTCACCCAGAGGTAACAGGGTGTTTTTGTCTTTTATCATTTTCCTGTGTGAGTTCATTTCAGACCATAGTGATTGTTTGGTTTTACTCATATAGTTGTTGTTGGGGCATTTAGTATACCGGATGAGGTACACCAAATATTGTGATAGGCGTGTGTAGGATCCATGGATCTTGAAAAGCATGTTGTGAGGGGTGTTGATCATTGTAGTAGTGGAGATACGTCTGCAGGTTTTGTATCTCTTCTGGCAGGGTCTGGTGCTGCTTTGAGTTGGTGTGTCCTAATCTGTGGGGAGCTTGCTTCTGATGATGAGCTTGAAGAGGCTTGAGGGTTGTTTGAAGGCCAGAAGTGGGGGTTCAGGAAATATTTCTTTCAGGATGTGGTCTCCATTAAGTATGGGTTGTAGTTATTTGATACCCCATATGGGTTCCGGTGTGGGGTGATAGGTGATAACTAGGGGTGTGCGGTCAGAGAGGGTTTTATTTCTGTATTGAAGCAGGTTGTCTTGGGGGTATTTGGGTGGCCCATTCCATGATGTGATCTACTCCTCTGGTGAAA